ATCTTGGGTAATGGAAGGTAAGTAACAGGGATTGCAGATTAAGGACATTTTGCTTTATTGAAGGGGATTTTGTACCTATAGGAGAGTTGTGAAACTTTGAGTGAGTTTTTGAGATGGCTGCTTACACATTCACTTACTGCTTGCTTGATTATTACTCATTTGTCACAGTGTCTGGTGCCACTGTGTGCAATAATCCTGTGGTGTGTCTTGTGTTTTGTGCTCTGTTGACGTACTGGGTTGAAATATGATTCATAGTTATTTCGTAGAGTAGCTATAATAAATCTTTTTTTTTTTTTTAACTATATAACCAGGTGACATATCGTCATCTTGATTTAAAAATGTGGATTATCTTCATTTACTTCAACAGTGTCACATTTTCCGATCTTAGATGAATCAAACGTTTTTAAATAGTCTTTTTTTGCCAACTTACACCCGGAGACATCCTTCCAGGCATTTTTCTGAGGAAATTAGATTTCAGTGATTTCAGATATTGTGACAAGTTTCAAAGCACACCGGAGGAGACGATGGCCTCTCTGTGGAGCAAGCAGTTCCTCACTGAGGTTTGAGCACCCTCATATCTCAAAGCAGCTTTTGCTGTGGTGTGAAAATGAATAAAAGCGGGATGGAGAGTTATGTGTGCGTGGAGGGGGTCTCTCTGGTGAGGAGTCCTTTACACTGATGATTCTCGGGGGGGTGTTAAGAAGGAGGAGGGGGGGTTGCCGAGGAGGATGGGGAGGAGAGGAGGAGGGCGGGCTGAAGATGTGCACACACACTGACCCTGGAGGTTGCGTTCCCCTTTAAAAGTCCCATCCCACTCAGATACGCAGAGCTCATGCAGGATCTGCTGCGGCAGTGGGGGAACACTGCTGAGCTGTGCAGTTTGTGCTGCCAGCAAGCGTGCAAAGAAGAGGAGGGGGAGCGTACAGGAGGAGGAGGAGGAGGAGGAGGAGTGAGGCAGAGAGAGGGAGAGAGAGAGTGCAAACAATGTCATTCTGTTCAGGAGGCAATGCTGCAGTCAACTTTGCCGCGCCATGAAAGAACATCACCAGCAACCAAGAGGCTCAGAGTGAGTGCAGAGAAGTTTTCCTCCTCTCCTCCCTGCCGGCGATGCGGTCCGAGACTCATCCGTAGGTATACATTTCCCTTTCCTCTCTGGTCTTATTTACCTTGTATGCTGTCTTCTTACCCGTCTCCCTTTTTTATCGCAAAGGGACGGTGCACTTCTTTAATCAGCCTTACAGGAGTTGATATGTCGGTGTGCATGCCTGCAGTGTTGGAGCTCCTGGCTGCTACTGTCTCATCAGTTTCAGCCTCCTCTGCACCAGTAATAACCAGGCAGCGGCCAGCCAGACAGCCAGTCAGTTAGCAGTCAGGCTCCACTGCTCCCTCATCCATGTTTAACACATGGTACAGGCTGGAAATAGCAGCCGGCGTGTCAGATAGCGACTGAGAGGACTCGTCATTTGACACAAGGACAAAAAAACTCACAAGGATGCAGAGTTCCCTCCACTAGAGGAGACTTTTATCTTTGTTGACCTAGCTGTTAGAGGAGTGCAGACGTTCCTAGCCCTCTACTTTTCTTTGTCAGCTGTAGGTTTATATTTGACATATTTGTGACTGTGATGCTGGAAACTGGTAATAATGATCTATTTGTGCCTGTGATTCTGGGCTGTCGGTGTCTGAGTGCTGAATGGGGGAAATGAGAACGAGGCTACAGTGGCCTGCATGGGACAGGGGAGCTGTGGTGCAGTCATGAAGTTGTGCTGTAGCTAGTAGGACTTTTCTACCATCCTGTAAGTGGATAAGGGCGCAGAGTGCAGCTCTGTGAGATTTTTTTTGAAGAGTTTGGCACAAACTGTGTGAGACTATGTGTGCTGAGGTGTTTATGCATTTAGACATTTAGATTTATGTCTCTTGGATAAAAGCAGATGTAAAAAGGTTTTTCAGGGCACAAGCGCTCTGACACTCGGCAACATCGCTGCAGCATCGCCAGCAGCACCTCAGCAACTCTCTGCTGCACATGTCAGCGTTGCTTCTTTTGTCTTATTGCAGTGTCTATGCTCAACTTAGAAAATAGTTTAATTGGGGAACGCTTCATAAAAAAAAGTGAGCGTGTATTCAAAATGTGCTTTAAAAACCAGTGTGGAAGGCGTGGACCAAGAGTCCAGCCGGGTCAGTTCGCCTGTGTGCAGGCTCAGTCAGATGTGAGTTCACCTCAGGTAACTGTGCTAAGACCTTGAAAAAGCTGGCCTTGCACCGTCAGCTGCTTCTGTGTGAAGCAGAAGTCCAGAGCATTTCTCTGGCCTTCAGATTTCTCCCCCACTGCAGGCAGGCCAGTGCGACGGTGATGATGATGATGATGATGGTAGCAAAACTGCACTAAAGGTCCGCGCTGCATCCGGAGCCTGACATCATCTCGGAACATCTGCAGTTCTCCTGCTCACACTTTCACTGAGGGTGGGTGCTGCACTGCCAGCAGAGGAAACTGCCGCACTCACCTGATGTTCCTTGCACCTCACTTCTGCCCTCCCCCCCCCCGCCTCCCACCCTCTCTCCTCTTCTTCCCTCCTCCTCTTTCCTCGTCTCCAATTTCTCTACTGTAGTCTCTCTCAGAGGTACAGTTGCCCAGCACAGCGGCTCACCGGCATGCTTTGCACCTCTGTGATTCTTCCCCCTCCTCCACCTCCTCCTCCTCCTCCTTTCTCCTCCACTCGACTCCCCCACCCCCACCTCCACCCCCCCTGCTGAAAAAGTATGCAGCACATGCTCTCACCATCCTCCTTGAGCAATTTGCCTGAGTGAATAGAGAGAGGAGAGAGAGAGAGAGAGAGGAGGAGGGAAAAAAAAAAAAGGAAAAAGCAAGAGCCAGTGAGCCGGCAGCAGAACAGCAATCCTGCAGTGTCCTGCAGCAGCTGAGTTCCTGCAGTGCTGGCCTCTAATAGCACACATGCACACACACACACACACAACCACACACACACACGTACACACCATACACATAAATGCAAATCCAAAGGAACAGGAGGGATGCACATCGAGACTATGATTCTCTCTCAGACAGAGACAGTCCTTCGGTCACGTGACTCGGCGGTGGTCAGAGTGAGGCAGAGCAGGCCGTCTCACTCTGTATCACTGAGCCGAGTTTAGAGGCAGAAGAGAAAGAAAAAGACACACTCTCTGCCCATGGAGCGCCACAGGGAGGCACTGGTGAGATTAGCCGATTGGCCCCCCCTTCTGATGGTGCATTGTCCCGTTCCAGCACTCCAGTTCCGATGATGTAATCAATGCAGCAAGCTTTGAACTTGCTGGGCTGGGGGCTCCTTCCTTCCCACCCACCCCCCCATCCAGACTTCCCCCCCCTCCCCGACTGACACAGATGCAAATGTGAGGCCTCAGCTGCAGTCTGTGTCCCAGGTGGAGGATGAATAAATTACAGTTTTATGTGATGATTTAGCTATTAAAGTGCAGAAAATAATTTCCTGTGAGTGGGGCGAGCTCACTGGTCGTCCATATTTCACTCTTGTGTAAACATGCAGTTCAAGCCTCCATTAATTAACTCAGTTGGTGAAACTACTGCTGGCACTTCGTCAAAGCGCTACAGTGCAGCGCAGTGCCGCATCACCACTTCCAATAAATTAAAGCAACTATCTGCAATCAAACGCGCCGCCGTTGCTCTTTCTCAAACTTTGCTCTGCCGTCAGTGGGGCAAAGACGAACGTCCGAGCGGAGCTTAAAAAAAAGAGTTCTTTCTGGGCGTAACATCATAGTGACTTTGCTCTTTCATTGATAAGGTCATCAGTCTGTTGACAGGCTGCAGTGGAGAGCAGCACCAGTGATGTACAGTGTGGTGCTTTAGAGATGCTCAGGCAGCCAAACTCAGACCATATTGTAGCAGGTGAGTTTTGCTGAGCTGGCTCCTGCCGCTGTACCCAGAATCTGCCTAGTGATCAACTTCCACTACAGCAATGATGAACTGGCATTACCCCCCCTCTAGTAAAAAAAAAAAAAAAAAAACCTCAGCTAACATCAGTGCAGCTCTGAATAATTAGCGCTCATGGACTGTGATGATTCTGCACATTTGATGCAGCTGAATGTGTGTGTGGCTAAACAGCATGCAATGTACATTTGTATATACACACACACACACACACACACACACACACATATATATATATATATATCTGTGATCCATCAGTTAGACGACTCTTTCCATACTGCGCTTAGAAATTGCTTTATAAATTTAGATTTACCATAAAATGTCACTGCTCCAGGATATATATATATATATATATACATATATCACAAGTATTTCATATCTTTGCCAATGCATTCCCTATGATTTTTCACACTTTTATAATTCATACTGATGGGCTTCATCTGTAATTGATGTGACCTACTGAGAGTTACTGTATAATATGATTTGATGAATCAGCAGCTTTCATTAGTATGCCATGCTGGTGCCTGGATACTGCTTCAATAAAGTATTGCTGTGTTAAAGATTAAGCAGGAACACTCACTAATAAGAAAACAGCAACACTTCAGCCAAATTCAAAATATTACTTGAATCCTTTCAGCTTCATCCAGAAAAGAGATTTTTTTATTTTTTTTTGCTTTAACCAAGAAATTCCGACACTGTGAACTGCTTCCACCCTCTGGCCAGAGAAGTTCTTTTTTTTTTTTTTTAAATATCTGTGACTTAACTGATGATCTGGCAAGTCAGTCCAATTTAAAGCAGCTCCTCTCTCCAACACTTTTTCACTCAGTTGTCACCATCTCCTCACATCAATTGTGCTTCTGTAAAGAAATCTTCTTAACCGCTTAATGTACCATCAAGCAGCGGCTCCTTCATGTGTTTAAAGTGAATGCTATGCTAACTTACTGAAGCAGGCTGAGTCATGCTTGGTCTTTTCTGGGTTTCCCCCTTTCTCTGATCCTCTGCTCCTCCCCCTTGTGGTCTAGGAGCAGGCTCATACACCCTGACCGGCTGCTGGTGGCGTGTTGGAACATGCCTTGACTTGTTGCGTTGCCTGAGTGAAGCACACAGAGAGAGAGAAGAGGCTGGTGGTCAACAGTTTGTGTTGGGAGAACCATGCTGCAACCCGTGGACAGACTGGTGCTGGAGATGAGGGTGGATGGAGGAGTTGTGCTGCTGCTGCTGCTCACTGGTGAGTGTCTGTGATTAAATGCCTCTCACATATATTATTGCAGCTTCTTTGATTGTCTGGGTTAATTGTTATCACGCACCTCCACTTTGAGAGAAACTCTAATCAAAAGATGCCGACTTGAGGCCTTCAGATCAGCGTATTAAGGGCCTGTAAGTTAACTCAAGTGTAAATGTGAAAATGTCGAAGCTGCGAAAGCGTCCAAAGCCGAGTCTCGATGCTACCATGACGCCGTGGTAACTATACAAAAGGTTACTCAGCGCTGAGAGCTGTGATACACCCAAACAGAGTTGCCAATTACACAGTGGCACAGTAACCTCCGCACAGACAGAGCAGCACCAGTGACCCTTTCACTGGTCTCCGGGGACTCCGCCATCACTGTGTGACCACAGTTTGATCCTCACAGTGAAGGACAGCTGTTTTTGTTATTGTTTTCTCCCTGTGTTGAGAATCAAAAGGCCATTTCCATCGGGGTTGGGGGGGACCCAGCAGGCCGCCCTCTCAGTTCCGAAAAGCCCAGAAGAGAGAAACAACTCTCCGATTAGTATCTGATTCCAGTTTCTGTTCAGGGCTGACGGAAGATTCGAACGGCTCTCGGCCTCACAGGAGAAGCGTCATCAGTGTTTCAGTCTGGAAGCGAAACACGATTACGTACAGCGAACACTGAAAAGCAGATAAACAGGGCCAGACTGTCCATGTTGTCACACATAATCACATGCTACTGATAAGCTCAACCACAAAAAAACTCATAGGGGCTTGTGAAACGTCCAACGCATTAATCACTCGGTGACTCAGATGATTATCATTTAGTGTCCAGTGTACTATGATCTGTGTATTTGACTTGTGTGTGGTCAAGCAAGCAGATAGTTACTGGGGCAACTCTGTTTTCTGGTAACCAGGGGTAGTGCAGACTCAAAACCACTGAATGAACACACTGAGGTTTGACACATAGCACTGATAATGAATGCAGAGTCAATCAATTCTCACCACAAAGTTTGAAAAACGTTCATTATGTCTAATGAGCTCCATCAATTTGAACCAAGAAGGGAACAATAAATACACAACCTATGCTACAGAAACCTTGGGAAAGGCTAAGCTCCGGTGGCAGGCAGCCCTCATGTGTAACAGTGCTCAGAAACGTGGCTCTACAGTAAATACTAATGTCATTGTTAGCTATAAGATGATTATGCTTGTGGAATGGGAGTGGAGCAGGGAAGCATGACTTGTTAGCGCTCCAGCAGTCTGTTAGAAAGTGTGCAGGGCTGGTGATGGGTAGTTGGGTGAATGTGGGGCTCAGCATCACACAGGAGTCTGAGGCCTGACAGCAGAAAGGTCCTGGAAAGTGTAGGTGAGCTCAGGGGTCAGATGTTTATTTTGGTGAAGTGATGGCAGATCTGTGATGCTGAGACGGATTGCTGCGTAAAGGTTAAATATATGTCACAATCTTTAGATTTACTAGGGAGCCTCACACTTACTTAAACAATTGCTCTCCTGAGACAAACACTAAGTGTGACGTCTAATACAACACATGTAAATACAGACGCCCAATACTGGATGTTTTAGAATGACAGAAAATGATGGGGCCATTGTTTATCAATTGTATTGCTAATTTTACAAACTAGTTAGCAACTCGCCATGAAGACAAAGCTTGACTCCGCATCACAATCTGCTCAGCTGGAATGCGTACTCTGCTGCATGTGCTGCAGACCGCGCTTATAGTATTGTAAATATTAGAGCCATAGCCGATGTGCTGGACAAACTATGTGATGACGCCATTTCTAAACATCTTTTTCTGTAATATTCTGTACAAGTAAGTTCTAATATCAGACAAAATACACACTACTATATCTGTTACAGGCCAATATCAGCTGATCATGTATCGATCAGACTCTTCTATACAAGTACTTTTTTTGGTGAGATCATTTTTCTGACATATTTCAGCTTTTAATGTCTGCACGCATGTATACATAATTTTGACGGAGGACTCGTACCGTCGTGATAATAATAATAAGACGCCCAAATTACTCAGATCAAAACCAAACACTTTGCTCTCTTACAGTTTATCTACCATCTAACAAATTAAGCCAGGCTTCTTAATTACATAAAGTTTCCAGGTCATCATGATGCAAGAGCCTTTCCTGAAAAAAAAAACAACTGAAATAGATCTATATAATTTAAAGCAGGAAAACAGATAATATTAGATCACAGATGGAATAATATTTATTTCCACTTTAGGTATCTGATGAAAGACAATTTTTTTATTGTGTACGATTTCAAGCTGATCGACTTTTGATCCAGTGAGTCAAACTGAAAATGTATTTCCAGCTCTTTAATTAATTGTTGAGCTGCTTTTAGGTGAAAACAGCAGATATTTCTTCATTAAATTTCTTGATTGGCAGAGTTTTCTTTTGCATTATATGACAGTAAGCTGTATAAATCCAAACTAAATTGATCAACTGAGAAAATAATTGCTAAAAAATTCATTATTGGTTATTTCCTCGTTCATGTTGTCTAATCTGAATATCTCTTTAACTCTCCATCATATTTGCACCAGATTTCTCCTCCTGCGTCAGCCTAAAGTCAACTCTAATTTAAGACGCATTTAACCGGACAAACTCCACAAATACACATCCGCACCTCACTAATATTTGCGCACGGATTTTCCACAACCCTTCTTTGTTTGGTCAATAGAGCGGAAAAATGAAGAAGAAACTGTCAGCAGAGGTGGACTCTGCCTGGGGCCCGAAACATGTTTGTCGGGAGGTGTGTGAGTCGAGCCTGCTGCTGCTGTTTGCTGTGCGAGGCGGCCAGGCAGCCAGTCATTCACTTAGCAAGCAGGGTTTTTGTTTTCACTGGCATTCCTCAATCCTGTATTAGGGATTACATCAAGGCCCGAGCAGGAAGGAATTCCTGTCATCATGTGCTCACCGAAGGCAGCGTCTGGCTCGCCGCGAAGACACAAAGGGACGCGGATGCAGCTGTCTGGCAACCGAAAGCAGGTCAAGAGGTGTCACTGCGTACGTCTGCGGACATCGCATGTGGCAGAGGGACGCTGACGGACAAATAAATAATACAAATATGTTGCTTTATTTTAAATCTGACGTCGGATAAGGTCAAAATGCTTTAACCACAAATCTCTGGAGTTATACAACCTAAAAAAAATGCGTCATAAAACACACCAAAAACAAACATGGAGGGCTACAAATGGCCTCGCTGCAGATTCGATGGTGATGGTGAAGACGCAGGGTGCTCATCCGACATCCCTCCGTCCTTCATAATTCCCTCTCTTCCTTCATTTGCCAGCAACTGCACACTGGTCCCTAGTATCCATGTTGTCCTGTCAGCAAAGCAGAGTCCACAGGGGGAGGACAGTATGGAATGGTCAGCCGGGCCCAAAAATAGCACTGCAGCGAGCAAAACGCAACTGATAGCGAAGGGGATTTTTGCTGTTGTCCCTGAGGCGCATAAACACACACATACACAGACACACACACACACACACACACACAGGGTCCAACAGTGTATGGCACTCAAGTGAACAGACGCGCACACACAGATAGACGAGAGCTAAATCAAACCGAGCTTTTTGTTGCAAAATCATGAGTCACGGCAAGTCTATTCTTAGTTCGGGGGTGTTTGTGTTTGCCCAAGTTATGTGCACTTAAAGTGATGCTGCACAAAAGGCTAGAGGAAGATCTGTTTGGGAACAAACTCTGGGTCACTTTGGGCAGCGGAGCGTGGATCCATCAATGCATTGTAGCTGAATAATTCAGTAGAGAGCGCCTCTATGCAAATCAGTTCATTTTGAAGTTTATACCAGTTTACACGTGGCCCCGATTAGGTTGATTTCATGATTGTTTTTTCAAATCTTTTTTTTTTTTCTTGCTTCTCTTATAGAGCTTCCCGCCGGTTGGCAAAAGCACCACACCACCCTCAGGGGGGAGGCTTTTTAGCGCGAGGCCTTCCAACAACCAACACCACCAAAGCTGGGCATGAAAAAAAAAAAAAAAAGCGCCAGAGTCCGTGGTGCCAGACTCGCAGGTGGAAATGTGCAGCAAAGACCAACCGGGATCCCGCCGGAGGGAGAAACGGATGGTCGGACGCGGCTGCTGTGGGTGTTTCTCTGGCAGTGTCTTAGCTGGTTGTTGTGAGGAGTGAGAACGAAGCAATCAGCAAGTATACTGCCGCAGAAATTCTTCGCAATAAGAGGCCCTGGGATCACAACCGCCACAAGGGTGGGGGAAAACAAAAATCAAGAGGGAGGAAAGATGCATATTCGCAATGCAGCAAACACGGATCCCGCCACTGCTGTAAGTTTTTTAACTGATACAGATTTTAATTGAGGACAGATCGACTGCAAGCATGGCCTTTTCGTTTAACAGCCTCGACAGTATTTACAATCGGAGCAAAGCATCAAACTTCTACGCTCTTGTGTTGCACTTTTTATGATCCTCTGCTGCCATCTTGTGACTGAAAGCAAACCTCCCAGCATGCCTTTGTTCATCCAACACTGCACCAATTTGTAAAGCCTACGTTGTATTTTTTTTTCTTTTTGCTTTGTTTTCATTGAGACAGTGTTTAATCCCTTTCATTCAGGAAATATGGCTCGGCTTACTATGACCTGAGATCCCCCCCCCCTTTTTTTTTTTAATGTTGCATGTATTTTTTTTTTTTGTCACCGTATTTAATTTTGCTTCAAGAATTTTCCGATCGATTCCTAATTTATCTGTCACAGATCAGTGATTTCTTCATGTCAGAGTTTATAACTGTAAAGAAAAAGGGGAGTAAATAAAAGTTGCATAAAGACGGATTTATCAGTTTGCCTTGTTTGTTTTCACATCACACATGCTTTTTTGTAATTATGTGTGTTGCATAAACCACTTTTGCGCTGCGTAAAAAGCACTTTGAGACCCTTGTAAAAAAAAAAAAAAAAAAGATGTTCCCATTTGAATACAGAAGAGCTAATGAGCGCAGACGAGCCAGGTGTAGCTCATTTAGGATGTCGCAGCAAACCGCAGCTGAATGTATTGTGTTCTTCTGATCTACAGAATCACACTCTTGATTTGATGTTAACACCTCACAGAGAGAAAAAAAAAAACTGGTGCGTATTTCAGAACTGATTGCTGATTCTGATGATGATGCAGATGTTTGCTGCAGTCTGCAGGAAAAAAACCAAAAAAAAAACCCACCAATGTTTCACTGCACTGCTGCAAACACAGAAAGGGGGGGTGCTTTTTTTTCTGAGCTGCAGCAATGCAGAAGCAGTAAAGAAGTCCTGCTCTCACACAAGGTCACTGCTTTACTGGGCTTGAAACCTTTCTGTACCTCAGCTATTTGGCAAACCGCAATTACAGTGCCACCGAAGAATTAACGGCGGCCGGACACAAAGCGCGGCAGACGTTACTCATTACTCAAATATGTCACTGATGGTTTTTTTTCTCTATTCTGTGGGGTCCTGTGAGTCCAATGAAACATTTGATAAGAAGGAAATGTACTCTGAGGCACAAGGTGACCGTGAGCAGTGGATGTTAATTCAATTTGTGTTATATTTTAATTTAAAAATTCCTCTATTGCCTCCAAGAAGGATGAGAGTGTCCCTGCTGAACAATGTGCTGCTGTGAATTGTCTTCACCTGCATTGTTTCAGAACTATTGAAATTCTGCTGAAGGCTTTAACATTGGTGATGCACAATATTAAGTGCTGAAAGTATTTTCGTTTTGGGGGGTTTTAACACATTTTTGACTTTTAATCAACTGAAATTAATTGGCAACAATTTTGATCATGGATTTATCATTTGAATCATTTAGGAAGCAAAAATTGCTCTCTCACTGATTGATTGTGATTTTTATTTCATATAAATGTGAATTTACTTTTTTTTTTTTTTTAGTAGTATTGCTTGGGGAAAATAAAAACAACAAACAGATGCTAATTTGAGCTCCAAAGGCTATTTTTCACTTTGTTGCGACATTTTATCGAGCAAAATTCATGAACAATGAAAGAAAATGATGAAAATCTATATTTTAATATTCTGTGGCAGGATAAAAACAATAGCATTATTAATTCATTTATTTTTTAATCTTTTTGTAGATCAATCAATCATTTCTGCTGCTAGAATCTTAATGGACAAAATATCACCTTATTTCACTGGTTTCCACTTGCCTTTAGGTTTAAATGTGTAATCAGAACTTCAAGCCCCAATTGGTCTGAATGTACATTTAAAAGATTCTTTTTTTTTTTTTTTTTTAATGTCTTGCTGTGTTGAAACGTCAGTCTGTTTGCAGGATTAAAGATTGTGAAATAATTAATGTGCTCCAGTTCCTGGAAGTTTTCTGTCTTCCAGCTGAAAAGCAACACATTCACTGGCATTTTTCCTGGAAGGTGCACACAGAACCCTCCTTTTACTCAACTATTTCAGTTATTTCTTTTATCGGACTATTTTATAATCGTACATTTTCTTGTAATGATTTTTTAAATTGGTGAAAGCACAGGCAGAACACAGTGTACCGTATGAGACGGTTTTTTCTCCAAATACATTCATAATAGAAACACAACAAACAGAATTAGAGGGAAAAAAAGAGGAATTAAAACAGCAGTGCATAAAAAGGAAGAGAAAAATATGCAATGTAAACTCTTTACTTCCTTAAAAATAACAATGAAGGCACAAAAACCCTGGCGAAGCTCATCCACACCCAACCTCTGTATCTGCTGCAGTTCTTTGCATTTGAGTATTAAACTGCAAAACCATGAACAAAAACGTATTTAAGCTGGTTTAGAGGTAAAATAAAATTAGGTCCAGGTGAAAGCAAAACTGCATTTGAGTTGAGGAAGTTAACCTACGAGGGTTTTCCAAATCTTCCTGAACATTTTGGGTCTTTTCCTTACATTTGAGAGGTTTTTTTTCTGGAGTGCAGTGTGGCATTAATTTATCAACTTTGTGTCTTTCTTTAAAATGTATTTTCTCCCAGCTGCTGGTGGACAACGGACGGCTTAACAGAGCTGTGTTTTTTCAACGGCTTTAAGGCTCCTGTGAGCCACACTTTAAAATCCTGTGCAATATATTATCTCTATAACTTCTGGGGTGATTTTATTAACAGTATTCCAAAACTTTCCAATCATTGAGCAATACCAGGTCATATGTAAAAGACGTGCATTTGTAAATCCCATGTGTAGCACACAGGGGAGATGCTCTTGTTAGATTTGTGCAGCACCGTGCATTCTGTGGATTAGTTTTAGTGGAAATTAGAAACATTTGCACTCGTTAAAATTGCTTATGTTAGCCTGCATTGTTGTGTGAGCAGTTCAGGTTCCATTTGTGTTTAGTCGGAGGTTTTTTTTAATGTTCAGGACAATTACTTTATGTTGCAATCGTTTAGCACTAGTCTCCCCTGGTTCGCCTGGGAATCTGTTAGCTGGCATAAACATGTTATGTTGGCTGGATTTGCTGTAAACTAGAGAACATAACGTCTTATTTTGATGCCTTTATCTGCACAAATTTGATCTCTGATATGCAATTTAGCATATCTGGTGTATTTAGATGGTAACCCTTAAGATTCAAGGATGCTTCTCTTGTCATGAAATGAAAGCGTTGTATTAAAAGTTTCATCTTAGTTTGTCTTTATTACCCAAGAAGGGTGTTCAAGGTTTTTATTTTTCTGTCATTATCCATTTGATTTCATTATCTTCTGAATGTAACCGGTGAAAATTAGGACAATTAGTTTAATCATTAAAGGTTTCTTGTGTCACAAAAAGGATGTCTTGTTTAGATCTTTTAAAAAATGGACAGGTGCTATAGAAAAAATGTATATTGTTATTGCCAAGCTTGAATAAGGTTCTGATTTTACATTTTAGCCTTGAAAATCTAATTAATATAATAAATCGAGGTGTATTACTTTGTACTGGAGTGACCTGCAGCAGTGGATCTGTTATTTTTATATGAATCATGACTGCAAAGGGAGCAATATTTCAGCATGCTGTCATGTGTCATAAATGTGACCTCCTCTGATGTTTTTGGAGCAGTTGGGTCACACAAGCAAACACAATTGCGTCCAAAAATAGCGCCGTGCCAGCTGACTGACTTCTGCTTTGCGTTCCGGTTGGTGCAGCGAGGAAGGGAGAGAGGGGAGAGAGAGGAGAGGAGGCGAGGAAGGAGGGAGGGCTTAAACGCGGGGAGAAAAACTTTTAGTTCGACTCCCGGCTCATAAGCAATGAGCGAAGTTTGCTAAAAGTCATATGGATCGACTGGACCGAGAGTTTCGCACCAGACGATGGCAAACGGGAATGAGACGGAGGTGTATTTATCCGAGCAGGTGATCGTGTTGTTTTCGTGCGCCCTGTCCTTCCTGGGCTCCTCTCTGATCATCCTCACCTACATTATTTGGTCGGATTTGAGGACAACCCCGAGGAGGCTGCTGGTTTACCTCTCCGTGGCTGACTGGCTCTCCGCCGTCTCCTACGCCTTCGGAGTCTGGAGAGTTTTCCGCAGCGACTCGGTCGACTGCGTCGTCCAGGGAGCGATATCCACTTTCGCCAACACCAGCTCCTTTTTCTGGACCGTGGCCATCGCTGTGTACCTGTACATTTTCATCGTCAGGTCCAGCCAAAGAGTCGCTGACAGCCTGGTGTTGTTCTTCCACCTTGTCAGGTACGTCACTGAGTTTAAAGTTTGTTAGCTGTTTGGCTGCTAAGCTAACAATTAGCTGTTTTTCAAAGTAGCTTCACCGGTTGGTGGTTGACCTGGAGCCCGGGGCATTTTGGGATATCTACCTGGTGACCCCTCCGTGCCCCGAGACAAAAAAGAAGCAAACATAAAACAAAACTGAATTCATATGGTACTTTGCTGTAATTTTTGACTGCAAAATCAAAAAAAAAAAAAAAGTTAGCATTTACAACACGACCGTCACGAGCTTCCTTAAACAGCACAGGAGCTGGTTCGGCTTGTTTACTCTGGTATAGTTTGGAAGAATACAATTTGTTTTGTTTTTTTTTTAAAACTAAAGTAGTTGCTTTAACATGAGTTTATGCATTGCTCTGTTGTAGTTTAGTCGAAGAAAAAAAAAAGTAAAATTGTGTTTTGAAGACTTTAAGTTTGAGCTGCCCCAGCGCGAAACCCACTGTTTCTATGGTAACAGTGTCAGGAGTTTTCAACGGAGTCTACTGAGATTACAACGAGGGTTTTTGTTAATTTCACGATAATAATACGCGAGTTATTTGATTAATCAAATTAAAATAAAGAGAATAAAGTTTTAACGTGTTTATAAGATGACTAATATACAAACTAAGGACTACAAACTACATCTCCAGCCACTGAGTCTCACAACATCTTTGACTCAGCTCTACAATGTGACCAACACATTAGCTGTTGTTGTTTTCGGATGAGGAACACTGCAAAATTGAATTCTCTTCCTCTGCCTAAATGAAATTAAAACTGTGACCGCGGCTTTAACTTCCTCAATACTGTCTCTGTCTGGTCTGCAGCCGGTGTAGAAGGCTGCTGCAGGACTGACACCAAAAACATGGACGTATTTACACCTGTACTAACATCCCTGCTCTGATTGGCTGAACACTGGATTTATTCATTTATAAGACCAGGCACTGCTGTTCCACATCTGAGGCTGGTGGATAGGCATCTTCTTTCATTCCAGTGTTCCTCCTTTATAAACATTTTTTGAGTAAAATCTTAAGACGTCCATGTTTTCAGTGGCTTTTGGCTGCTCTCATGTTATTTTGAAATTCGATCTGCCAAGCTGCTATTCTGCTTTGCTCGTTTCACAAATGGATTTTTCAAGTCTTTATCCTGTCTTGCTCTTTGCACATATTTTTGTTTTGATTTTATTTGATTTAACTTAACCTGCAGTCTCAATTAGCCTTGTTTTTACTCCATCTACCTCCTTCTGTGTTTCACTGATTACATCTTTTATATTATTATTATTATTATTATTAATAATAATAATTCCACCAAAAACCTCACTGACTTTGAGGAGACACCTCACCTCAATATCACCATTCTAAAGAGAAACTCTCCTGCCTAGCAAAATATTCATACATGCAAGCTGTTTTTGTTTTTTTTCCCTCCATGCTCCTTTGGTCCTATAATAGTTCATTATATCAGGCATGAATAAGCCTGTTTGAGCTGAGTTTTCTTTTTAAATGACTTTTTTTTTGCCTTAGCATGAGCAGGACTTCTGAGCAACAAGGAAACTGAGAGGTTTATGTAAACTGAAAAAGGCATCTTGTTCTGACTTCAGTAAGAAAAGGTGTAAATACACTAAAGAACACTAAAAAAATAAATAAATAAAAATACACTAAAAAATAAGAGCTAAATATTGTTTTAAACAAGAAAAAATTAATAGATTTTTTTTAAAAGCACGAAAATTGAAGTGTAGTATAAGCATATCTCGAATTATGTCTTTACTATCATTTTATAATTATTTTTCATGCTTAAAAAATATCTTCATAACTTTAGAATGTTTATCCTATATTCAGTTCTCAGGCAGACACATCTGGAACATCTGTCCAGGAACTACAGATGAAAAATAGCCTCTTGGCTAATTCTGCCACTTTTACAACTATATTTTTTAACCCTATTCAGGACTTTTGGGGTCTTTTGGACCCCAGGCCATTGGGTTTAGGTGACCAGTATTGCTTTTTTATTTTTAAAGATTTTCTTTAATATTAAAAAGAGGGACATTTGTCGTGAATTTGGAACCAAAAATACATCAACTTATCAGAACATGTAAATAGCATAGTATAAAAGTCTATCATGAATACTGATATTTTGCACATATTCTTTCTTGGGGTTCAGTGGACAACGAAAGACCTTCTACGTATGGCAACATGAAAGTCCTGAGTAGGGTTAACGTGATTTGTCCCTGTCAGCAAAATGTAAAAATACATTCATGAGGAGTAATGAGAAAACAAAAAGTGCACTGAAATAACACCTCAAAATATGAATGAATAGCCAGTTTTTTTTCAGGATCTGCACTTTGTAACAGATATAAGTTTCATACAATCTCTGTTTTCTCTCTCTTTTTATTTTTTATTTTTTAAATTCCTTTTGGAATCTATTTCTGGAGACGAGCATAAACTCACATTTCTTGTCTTCTCATGTGTTTCCCACAACACGTGCTTTTTTAGAGTGTCCTATTATCACACGTACACTGTTGCCTAAGGAGGAAACCTTTTTTTTCCAAGATTGCAAAATAAGGAAATCAGGCCAAAAAAAGTATTTGCCACAGTTAAACTGATTAGGTTGCCAAAAATGATTAGATATATGCATGTTGTACCAATAGGTAGAGAGAATATCACTGGTCCCAAACTCGTGATAGATTTCATTATTTCTACTGATGAACAGACTGCTTATTATTTCATGTGTGTCTTTTAGTTAGTTAGTCATGAAGCTCCACCAAACTACAAAACAGTCAAAATCGCAGCTACACAACTCTTTCTGATAGGCTTCATTAGGATAAAAACCTCATTAAATGATGTTCGACATGTGTCCACTATAAAAGTTATGAACAGGTCTAACAAGCTACTTTGACTTCGGCACACATGTTTCATCCTTTGTGTCAGCTTTCCTTCTGAACATTAATGAGCTGTCCGTGTTGATTTTGAAGACGTTTGAAGAGTTGATTCGCTGTGTTGTGGTGCTGTGTGGTTGATCTATTTTTGGACACATTTTCACCCCTGGGTGCGCCCCACCACGGTGCTTGTGTTTGTCATTATAATTTAGTTTCCACTGAGTTAAAGCTCTCACAACAGAGCCATTCATTGAGGCCTGTATACATAACACACACACAATTAGACCTTAAGCATTTTGATGTTTAAAATGATTTCAGATCTGCCACGTGTTGCTATGAAAGTGTAGTATTCTTGGTGTTTTAATAGAAGAGGCAGTGCTTCTGGGAGAAATTAGCGAACATCGTCTTCTAAATTGTAGAAATGTGGCTTTATGACATATAAAGCAACAAAACTTGCGTGCCTCTGTGGTTTGCACTACGTAGCACACACAAGCCTTAAGCACAAGATAATCTATCACAAGGTCTCACATGTCTTTGCCGTATTCGTTGGTCCTGCACCCACCAAACATTTACGTCAAAGCTCAGTGGAGATGTTTAAAGATCTGAAGTCGAGGCTGCTTTAGTTCATTTTCTATCCCTTTTGCGTTCCAGCTGGGGTGTTCCTCTGGCCATCACCGTTGCCGCCGTGTCCCTCAACAAGATCGGCTACGATGCGTCTGAGGTGTCGGTGGGCTGGTGCTGGGTCAGGATCCACGCTCCGGACCGGGTCCTGTGGATGCTGCTGACGGGGAAGATCTGGGAGTTCTTGGCTTACCTCACCCTCCCTGTCCTCTACATTTTGATCAAGAGGCACATCCACATAGCGGTGAGGCCTCATTTGTCAGCGATGTGTGCAAAATATAGTGTAATATATGACACTTGGTTCTCCCCTCACACCTCACATCTGTCTAGTAATCAAAACTAGAGCACAGTTTATGCACAAAAGTGTTTAGATTTATCTTGAAAATGGGTGCACATTTCAATCCACTCCTGATGAGAGGTGGGAATTATCGACAAACTCACAATACAATCCTGTCATGATGTGTACAATAATGACGGTATTCTAATATAACAATTTAGTGATAGATGCAATACATTTATCTAGGATTCATCATGTTATGTGTTGAACTGTTCACTAGGGAAAAGGGAAGTAACATAAAACCCTGATGTTGTGAGGTATTTATGAACAAAAGTTAGGATTTAACAACATACACAAAAGTGAGGCAACTAAAGTCTAAATGAGTGCTGTGAAAATGACAACAAAAGGAGACTCTAACCTAGAGTTTAAAGATTACCATTATGCAGAGGAATAAAAAAAACAATCTAACTAATCCAATCTAATAACAGAAATACAATCCTAACAGCCACTAGTGAAGCTAACAGCCAATCTAAGGTGGGTGCAGTGTTCTCAAACAGGGTCTAGTGCCTCAACAAGAAGTACAACAGTCATAAGACACAAAGAGGCACATGAGCAGGGCTGGCAACAGCTCGCTGCCCAATGCTGGTCTGCTGGCGTATTATATCCTCCTGGAGGCTCCTGATTGGTGGATCAGCTTTCTCCAGCACAGGTGGATGGAATCACATCAGCTCAATCAGTTCCTGCTGCAGGGTAATCTGAGGGCTGAGTGGAGACACACACACACACCACAGACAACACACACACACACACACACACACACACACACACACACACCACAGACGAGGGAGATGGAGTTCCTCAGAATATGGCAGCGGCTGTAACATGAACTGAAGAAGAAAAAAATCACCTTAAAAGTCAAAAACCAGGAATTATGTATTTATCCACTGTTGTGCCAGTACGTGTGTGAATTATCATTGTTTGCTTCCCTTCACTGTCTGCTGTTGTCCCCCTGTGAGTTTCTTCACTGTGAATTATCATCAATTCACTTTTACCCTCTTTCGTTTGATGAAATGCACCACGAGGAGCCGTTAAGTAGTGACTCTTGTAAGTTATAACGGTGGGGAAGTCCATTTAGAGTCTCTACATGTTTTATTAAAAAAAATAACAATATTTGCTGCCTTTGTAACAGGAGTGTCACAAGAGAAAGTGATGCAATGTGTTATCAATATTTTGTCCTACCGCTACTCCTGACAAGGACTAACAACAAGTACACAGAGGTTGAGAGGTGTAATCGTGAGCAAACAGATTCCTAAATTAAAAATATACAAACCTCCTCTATTTACAGATGAGGAGAGTCCGATGTGTCCCAGTAATGATTTATTCCTGCATTGTCTCTTGTGTTCAGTCACATGTAAAGCTAAAAATAATCCCAGTGCCTCAAGTAGCAAAGTAGTTTGAGCTACTGCAGTAAATGTTTTCTGTAAATATAGACAATATCTCCTATTTAACAAACATATCTACGTAAAATTACAGAACCAATACTTCTTTGTTTAACTGTCACGATTAGTATCTCATTTTATAAATATATATATTTACATGATTAAACTTAAATCTAACAGTTTCATCTGTTGGAGACAAAGGAATTATTTGTGAAATCAGACAATTACAAATGCAGTGAAACACAGTTTTTAAAATATATATATTTTTGAGGTTGTGCAAATCAGAGCATGCAAATAAATTGCAAAAACTGTCAGAATTTGTTGAGATAATGATGTGTGTTGTCGGAGAGAAGTGCAGTAAGGACACCACCAAAGTCTTTAGGATTCATCATGGATCTTTGTAGAAAGTTTTGGTACAATTCAACTCATAGTTGGTGACTTGAATCCATGAGCTTGATATCCTTAAAGATCAGAAACTCAACCTCATTGACACATTTCATTGTTTGCTTCTCCCCCTCATTATAAAACATGCTCTTGCTCTGTGAACTGTGTCCGTCGCAGCATGCAGCCCTGTCAGAGTACCGTCCCATCCTGGCCAACAGGCCTCCGTCACACTCCTTCTCCTCCATGGCTGACATGAAGCTCACACTCATTCCCATCATCTTCATCGTCCTGCGCATTTGGAGCACCGTGCGCTTCATCCTGCTGCTAGCTGGCTCATCGGCCAGACAGAACCCAGTGCTGGTCACCCTACATGTGAGTGTAAAGTTCAAACCGATGATTTCCAGTGCACAAGATGTGTGAATAATCTGCGGCTCACTTCTCCTCTGAACATTGCTTCATCCATCGATCGTGTGTCTGAGCAAAGTGCGCTATCAGTAGCCGATGTGAACTTGTGATTGTGTGAATCTTTACACAGTCATCCTGTGTTAAATTATATTTTTTCCACCCCAATGGAAAGTAGCATAATAGCTTTGTCAAAATAAAATAAAGCATCCTCCTAAATGGGTTGAAAATGCCATAAAGTCTTTATGAAGCTGTTACTTCTTGGACATTTTTATCACATCATATTGCCGCTATAAATGTGTGTAACATTTTTATTTCATGAAACAATAACTTCTTAGCAAATCTGCTATTTTATTGGTCAATAACAAATGTGGAAAAATAAAAAGTGTTCAATGTTTTTAACCCATTTTCCTCCAGTGTAATAATCCAATGCCGCTACACTCCTCTGAAAGCCTTTTGTTTTGTCACCAACAGGGTATTGGCAACACCTTGCAGGGAGCAGCCAACTGCATCATGTTTGTTTTGTTTACTCGGCCGATCCGCACACGCCTCTGCACCGCGCTCTGCTGCTGCTGCTGCTCGAAACGTCAGGCCGAGGCGCATCGCTCGCATGAAGCCCCTCACGGTCTGTTACCGGGACAGGACACCTCCACCCAGAGAGAAGAGGACAGCGCCGGCCGAGTCCGTACCGACAGATGACACTTTATCCTGCAGAGGAGAAGGTGGACAAAGGTTGACACGGAGGGAGCAGCGGAGGTCTCAGCTTCGCATTAAGCCTTCATTACAGCAAGTGCCTGCCAGAAGGGTCGCAGATTCTGCAGGTGACATCTGTGTCACACAACAGCACTCTGGGTGATGGGATGATGCTGCCTGACTGTTGGCCGGCATTAAGTGAAGCATTTGTTGCATTTAATGTGCTGCGTCCCACACTTTAACCCTCTGAACCCCAAAAAACCGTTGGTGGGTTTGAAAACAGATCACCAAAATTACACCATTTATCACAGCCAGAAACTGTAAAAGCACAAAGAAATGTTGGATTTTGAATTTTCTAACAGCTCATGAACGAATAATTTAATTAAAATCACTTTATTCTATTTGTCTCATTTAAAATTTCACCAAAAATGAAACATTTACTGTAACTAGACTCTGTAAAAGACTCGGCACAACATAGGAGCTGTTTGTAACTCAGCTGCTTAACAAACATCCAAAAACTTTTAGACTGAGCTGCAGGCTGTGGTGAACAACTGACAAGTATAGAAAAAATTACAAATACAAATGGTAAAATAGCTTTTTTTCCAGGACCGATGACACCTGTCCACAACTTAAAAGTATTGGTTTTCATTTTTTGCAATATAGTAAAATAGATGCAACATTTTTGTGTGTATAACTGCATGATTTCTCTTTTGCTGTTTCCATAAAGGTGCAGGACTTTATATTGCAGTAAAAATGCCACAGAGGAGGAAAAAACCACATCTAGATGCTGTTTGGAGTTCAGAGGTTTAAAATGGGGTTTCACTTTTCATTCAGGTCGCTCTTCATTTACTGTTTTCTTTTCTGAAAAATGTTACACTCCACGAAGGACTGATTATCTTGTACTGTTCTGAGGTCATCACTGTGAATTAATATTCCTGTTTCAGTTTTCAAGTATTTGTATTTTGTGGAAAAATGATCAGTGTTAAGGTGAGTAAAGAAACTTTAAAGGTTTACAGCTGTGTTTGATCTTTTTATTGTCAGTATTGATACAAATGGATTAAAAAGAAAACCCAATATAAACATATCCTTCAACATCTGATGACGTGAGAGGTGGATGCAAAAACATTTCTTCACAGATGTGGCCCGCTTGAGTTGAGAATCGATTCACACCAGAAAAAAAACAAATTAAAACATCTGTTAACGCATCTGATTTCAGTCCAGCCCCATATTCATCAGTCCCGTAGTGCTCTGCAAGCTGATCTCGGTTATTATTTAATTATGTCAGAATATAGAGAGCCTGACAGAGCTTCAAGGTGGGAAAAGCTGTGCATCTATTTGATAAGCGATCGAATTGTATGTTGTCATGTGGAAAAGATAAATAGTGAAAAAGAAAATGATCCTGTAAGCATGAGTTAAGAAGTTTCTGGAATAATTTATCATAATTTTATTGATTTTGTGTGGATTATCCCTATCATATTTACTGCTAAGTTTAATAGCTAAATAACTCTAAAATAATAAAACATTCAGTGGCCATATGTGGTATTACTTCCCCTGCTGTCTATTTGAATGCAAATAGCTGTTGCCTAATCTGCAGGTTGCAACACATTTTAGGCAGAAGTTACACAAGACCATCAGCGTCTGATGCGTCGCCAAAATTAACTCGACGTCATTACTGTCATCGTGGTCAGGGGACCCGTGAACTATCATCACATGCCATCCTTCCTCCTTGAAACCAGAGCTTCACTCGTGAGCCTCACTTCTCTTCTTTGACTGCTGCTGCTGGTGGTGACTTCTGTTTACCTTACAGAGGTACAAGCCGAACTACAGAGGAGTGAGAGAACCCACAGAACATCACAGAGCTCGTGCCACCAACCTGCTTCACAACCATAACGTCACTTCTTGTAGTTCCTTCAGCTCGTTTGAATATTGTCTAAGGATTCCATTGGGTTTCACTGTAATGGTTGTTGGGGCATCATCTGTAGCTCTGGTGGAAGTAAAAGCATTAATACCATAATTTATCAATGCTATGTCAGAAGTAAACAATACTGCATTTAAAATGGCGCATTAAATTATCATCTGGAAAATGTACTCAAAGTATTAAAAATGAGAGAACTTGATGCATGTCCTGAGGCTGTTATACTGGAATATTAGATTATTATTACTAATGCATTAATGTACTGCTACGAGCCAGCCTCTAGGGTCAGCTGGATGTAACAAACAACACAAAAAAAACCTGATGGAATTGGTTCAGGCAATTTATTGCTTAGTAAAGTAAATGACATTACAGAACGGTGACAATACAAAAGAAATTGGTGGATGTTGCTACAAATCAAAGAACCAAACATAACCTAACGAAGGCTATCACTTTACTTTAAACTTTAAATCTCGTAGCAACATCCACACATAACAAAAGAAGCTAAAACAAACTAGCGCCTCAAAACACACAATACGAAACACAAGACACGAGGAACTTCTTCATGAAGTTGTGGAGGTGCTAACGGGAGTCAGTCTTCACTAAGACTCTCATGAAACTCCCACACCGAGTTAGCAGCTGCCAACAGAAGTTACACAAACACAAAAGACAAAAACCGAGAGGCACCAGGACTGACTGTTCAGACTAAATCCCAGCGAGCCCCCGACTGAAAGGTTGCTGGTTGCTTTTTAGCCAGGTGTGGTGATCACTGGGGTGGAGGAAGAGTGGTGGTGGTCCAATCAGATGTGACCAGAGGCGGGGAGGACTTCAGCTCCAGGTTAATTAGCTGTGATGACTGACAGCTGGTGTCCTGGAGCAGCTCTCAGTCACAGTGGGCCTTCACAGGTCATCTCCACACACATGGGTCACAAGTCCATATAACAAAACGGCACAAACAACATGGACCGTAACAGTGCTTCAAAAGCAGGTTTTTACTCTTTTGGTTGGTTAATGTGGACCTCATTTTGAACACTTCTGTATAGGACTAATGATTTTAATGATAGATTATTCTGCTTATTCTGCTTGTTTTCTCCATTAACCCGCTAAACCCCCAAGGAGTTTCTAGGCGGGTGTTTTTTTTTGTTTGTTTGTTTGTTTTTTGTTTTTGTTTTTTGCATCTGTCAATTTTTTTACTCACTGTGAGCTTAATTTTTTTCCTGGAATCAACATGCCCAACATTTTTCCAAGTGCCCACAGGTGTTAGCAATACTGGTGACTCTACATAGTATGGATATTTCATTATTTAACATTTTAAATGTGTGTCCTCTTTGTGTAAACACAGCCTGCAGTTCAACCTAGGTCACCTGAAAACTCAGGATTTTTGTAATTTGACTGCAAACTTTTTGGGTTTTTACAGAATCTGGTAGAAACAAACGTTCATGTTTGAGCAGATAAGTTTGGCTTTTTTTTTTCTTTTCTAAATATAAGACATATAGAATAGAGTTGTTTTAATAAAATCATGATTGTAAGATTGGATTTTGATTAGATTTGGTTAATCTTCCTAACGAAGCTGCACCCCATATGTGATACATTCATGGACTGATTGGCTGACGGTCTGATAATTCTTTCTGTTTGTACCATTTCTGGCTGTGATGAAGGGTATTTTGATGATTTAAAAAAAAAAAAATTGCAGTCAGAGGGTTAATCAACTGATTAAAAAGTCAGAAAACATTTGAAAAGCACTTTCACAGTTACCTGAAGTTTAACATGACACATTAGCAATACCTTATATGACCAACCGATGTTGAAAATGCTGTAAAAATACTGAAATAACTAAAAGGAAAAGTCACAAATGTTAACATTTTTGAAGCTGGGACTGTGAAATGTTGACTTAAGAAAATAGCAGAGTAGCTGCTCATTGATATTCCATCAGTAAGTGAATTGATTGTTTGACTAATTGTTATATCTGTACTTGTATAAACTTTTATTCTTAGTGACAAAGCATCATTTTCCCCTTTAAGTAGTAGGGGAGAACCAAGTGTCATGAGAGGAAAAGACTCAAGTAAGTACAAGTACTTCAAATGCGTCCTCAAGTACAGTAAATGTACTCCCTACACTGATTTGTAGTTGCTTTGCATCTCTTTTAGTGATGGGTCTTTGCACAGCAGCTTGTTGTCTCATAAAGTGTGCATGAACAACTCTGTGCTCATATGAGAGCAGTTAGTTCCCATAAATTATCTCCAGCTCCACTGTTTATACTAAATGTACATAAAGCATAAATACACAGTTTTCTTTGCGATAAAAAAAAGTTTTCCTTGCGTCTAATTTTACCTTTGCTCTAAAGTAATGGGACACAGGGCAGAGTTCATTCTCTCAGACCGGCAGTCACAGTGACACCACAGTGGTCACCATGTCTGGGAAAATGGAGAACGTGAATGTTACTTTTGCAGATGACATCTAAAACAGCCAGTGGACAGTTTTTTTTTTTTGTCCTTGTGGATGGCAAAGGACACACAGAGGACCCACTCTTGCTATATTTCCTACAGGAATTAATCCAATGTGTCACTTCTGAGATTTGGCTGACATTGAAACAACTCAAGCCGGCCGATGGAAACACTTAAGGAAGACGTTTTTGCTCATTCCTCTGCTGGCTCTCTGCCCATTTAATTCATTAAGTTAAAGAGTAGCTCAGGGCTGTGTTATGGCCGACTACCAGAGGTGACCATTCACCAGTAAAGTTAATGGCGGCAATTTTTTTCACAACACAGGCTGCTCATTTGGCTGCGTCAGTGGTTCCAGAAGCCAATTTTCAAACACATTTCTCTCACCATATGGAGTAGGTCAGAGCTTCAGCAGAATTTTTGAATACCACAGACAGAGCAGCTTTCACTCGTGAGACAAGAAACATCGAAACATTGTGTACAGTAACAGAGGGCTTTCTGCTTGGTTCTCAGATTTGTCCAGTGAGTGAATAATTAGGTAGTAAGTTACTAAATTCCCAGAGAAGCTGCACTTTGCACTGCACAGTACATGGGGCATATGTTTCCTCTCCTTTTCATTTAGATGTTATCCACCGTAACGTTGGCTCCACCAGCTGTTCACTGCTGACATTGCGACTACTGCACGCACTGTGGAAAGTTCCAATACCACATGAGCTAAACAAAATGAAAAAGCACTTTATACTTTAAAAACCACAAATAACTTGAAATTTCAGAAATGTTCCAGCTGCTACTGTAATGTTTCTGTGTCTTAAATGTCAGGATTGTGTAATTAAATTCTTCCTTTGAGGGCAAACGTTTCTGTTTATAATCACGTTAAACTCAGTTGGACATAAAACAGTTTCATCTTACTCAGTTTTTTTTT